ATTTCCTGGCTCTCAGGTCAAACTAAGGCTAGGCAGATTTGCCTCAGGTGCAGAAGTAGATGCTTTGGTGACTCTGTGGGATCAGTACATCCTGACCTTTTCTTTCCTTTGTTTGTCTCACATGTTTCGGGATGGATTTTGATGTTCCTCATTATCCCAGGCTGTGGTGCGCCAGCCTAAGAAGATGCCACACAATTGCTCCGAGGGATCTACTGGATCAGGATCGTCTGTTCCCAAGAAATGTTTTTTGCCATCCAGCTTCAAGCTGCCTTTAACAGCTTGATGATTGACGCTCAAGATCTGAGAGACAGAGCATCTTGGAGTCTAGGAATCCCTTGATGCTAAGGGGGAGGTCTACTTTTTGTTAAATCTATTGCTGAGCATGTTATATTCTATTTTATTCTATCCTATTGTTTTTCTATTCTATTCTGTGATTTGATTTTTTATTCTATTCTAATCTTTCTATGCTATTATAATGTTTTCTATTTTATTCTATTCTTTTCTAATTGATTCCATTCCTTTATTTTCTCTTTTATTTTGTTCTGTTTTACTGTATTCTTTTCTATTATTTTATTCTAATGTATTCTATTAAAACTCAGATTCATTCTATTCAAAATTAGAATTTCGGAAGACAGTTATACTGTATTCTATTTCATTGTATTCTATTCTTTTTTATTCTATTCTTTGATTTTCTATTCTAATTGTTTCTATTCTGTTCTATTCTATTCTAATCTTTCCTATTCTAATTGATTCTATTCTATTCTTTAAAGCGGAGCTCCACCCAAAAGGGGAAGTTCAGCTTTAAGGACTGCTCCATTAGGACGTCAGGTGACGAAACGTGTAGGGCAGAGCTTGTGGATGTTCCCTGATTTGTCGGAGTCCATGGGTGCCGGAGGAGGTTGTGTCTTTCATTGTTGTGAACGTGGATTATGCTGGTGTCGACTTAGACACCATTTATTGTGAGTGCGATATATTTTTAAATAAAAATTATTTTTAAAAATGTTACTGCACTATGATCTTCTCCTCTCTTACTTCCTGAGTACCATTTGGAGTTTATGAAGAATTGGGTGCCATACTGAAACATTCCCTATATGCTGAAATTCTCCTGCAGATCATTGCTCCCAGAGCACAAGTGTTTATGCTGATTTATAATATGATCAGCATATTGCTCTGGTAAGTTCATTCAATTTATTCGGTGGTGGATTTATGCAAGGTGGTTTTGCATTTTCACATGAAAAATATATTTTTTGAGTTGAAGATTGTTTATTGATACAGAAAAATACTTTTTTGGTGTTGGACTTTTGCACATTTATTTGGACACTCTTAATAATTATTGATGTAAAGATTTATATAGTTATATATGTAACAATATTTGCAATAATTTGAGTGAGATTATTAACGCAAACCTGTTTTTTCATTTATGCACACACCTTATAGGTTAGGTTTTGTGGCTTTTTAAAAAGATTTTTTTGCACTATATACTGTAGTTTATTTCATTTTTTGTGGCGCTGTCCATATTTTTTCAAATTAATATGGGCATTAGACAGGCGTTACTGAGCTTTAGTATGGGCGTTAGACTAGCAATTTACAAGCATTAAAACGCTCCCCAAATGCCCTAGTTTTGAAGCATTTAATTCGTGTTTTAGAAGCGTTAAAACCATATCACACATGCCTATAATAAACGGTAATCTTAATAACGTGCTGCAACTGCACTGAAAATGCTTCGCAAATGCCTGTTAGTGCATTTGCGTAGCGTCATTATAGACTGGAAGGGGAGTCATTGAAAGGCTTCAAACTCCTCCAGACTTGACATGAGTCTTTTTGAAGTGACGCAACACTAATGCTTCATGTTTTGATAATGTGAACGGCACTGTGTGTTGTCCATAGTATCATTTGCATAGGCGTTTGAGGCACGTGAAAAATGCCCCTGCTTGAGGTGATTGTAGCTGTATTAGTGCATTTGTGACAGAAACAATTGAGTACTGTCTGTGATATTTTTTTATATTGGATTAACATGCAATTTTCAGGACAGTCTTTCAGGGTATGTACTGCTTGGATGTTGAAGAAGTGGACATACCCCAAAAGCTTGTCCTAAAAATTGTATGTGAGTGCAAAAAGAAAAAAAAAAGTATCACATGAAGTACTCAATTGTTTCTAAAAAACGTAAATGCCCCTCAAACACCTGCTTTCAATGTCAGTGTGAACTAGACCTTTGTGCTAATGGTAGTGTTGCCACCTCATCCCTTTAAAACCCAACACATATCAATTACACAGGTTCTGTGGCTGATTAACCGCTTTCCTGCCGCCTTATAACAGATATACTGCTACAGGGCGACAGGGGTGTGCAAAATCACGTACAGTTGCAAGAAAAAGTATGTGAACCCCTTGGGATTACGTGGAGTTTTGCATGAATCGGGCATAAAAATGTGCTCTGAACGTCATCTAAGTCACAACAATAGAAGAAAAACACAGTCTGCTGAACATAATACTACACAAACATTAGATGTTGCCATGGTTTAATTGCACATAACATGTAAACATTCACAGTGCAGGGAGGAAAAAGTATGTGAGGCACTAGCTTAATGACTTCTCCCAGAGCTAATTGGAGCCAGGAGTGAGCCAACCTTGACTCCAATCAGTGTGATGTATTGGATGTGTTGCTGACAGCTGTCCTGCCCTTAAAAAACACACACACTGTTTTGGGTTTTACAAGAAGCACTGTCTGATGTGAACCATGCCTCGCAGAAAAGAGCTCTCAGAAGACCTATGATCAAGAATTGTTGACTTTCATGAAGCTGGAAAGGGTTACAAAAGTATCTCCAAAAGCCTTGATGTTCATGTGTCCACGGTAAGACAGACTGTTACAAATGGAGAAAGTTTAGCACTGTTGCTACTCTCCCTAGGCTTGGTCGTCCTGTAAAAATGACTGCAAGAGCACAGCGCAGAATGCTGCATGAGATAAAGAAGAATCCCAGAGTGTCAGCTAAAGACCTACAGAAATCTCTGGCACATGCTAACATTTTTGTTGACACATCTAAATAAGGAAAACATTAAACAAGAATGGAGTACATGGGAGGACACCACGGAGGAAGCCATTGCTGTCCAAAAAGAATATTGCAGCAAATTTGAAGTTTGCAAAAGAGCACCTGGATGTTCCACAGCACTACTGGCAAAATATACTGTGTGACAGATGAAACAAGATTGAGTTGTTTGGGAAGAACACACAACACTATGTGTGGAGACAAAAAGGCACAGCACACCAACATCAAAACCTCATCCCCACTGTAACACATGGCGGAGGGGAGCATCATGGTTTGGGGCTGCTTTGCTGCCTCAACAGATTGTTGTCAGATGGGAAAATGAATTCCAGAGTTTATCAAGACATTTTTCAGGAAAACGTACGACCATCTGTCCGCCAACTGAAGCTCCGCAGAGGATGGGTGATGCAACAGGACAATGACCCAAAGCATACAAGTAATTCAACAAAACAATGGCTGCAACAGCACAGAATATGCCTTCTGGAGTGGCCCACAGAGTCCTGACCTGCCCGATTGAAATGCTGTGGCATGACCTTAAGAGAGCGATTCACACCAGACATCCCAAGAATATTGCTACACTAAAACAGTTTTGTGAAGAGGAGTGGTCCAAAATTACTCCAGATCGTTGTGCAGGTCTGATCTGCAACTACAGGAAACGTTTGGTTGAGGTTATTGCTGCCAAAGGAGGGTCAACCAGTTATTAATTCCAAAGGTTCACATACTTTTTCCTCCCTGCACTGTGAATGTTTACATGTTATGTGCAATTAAACCATGGCAACATCTAATGTTTGTGTAGTATTATGTTCAGCAGACTGTGTTTCTTCTATTGTTGTGACTTAGATGACGTTCAGAGCACATTTTATGCCCAATTCATGCAAAACTCCACGTAATCCCAAGGGGTTCACATACTTTTTCTTGCAACTGTATATATACGTGATTTTGTATTTCTGAGTAGGGGACTGCGCGAGTTGCATGTGCGCCCTACCCGTGCCTCGGCTGTCAATTACCGGGTACCGGCCAGTGATTACTCGACAGCACCTGGTGATTGCAGAGCATTGCCGATGGAGGGAGAGAACTGTATGTAAACAATACAGTTCTCTCCCGTCAGCTCCTGCACACTGCTTTGCATGCCTCTGCATAGCAGAGCCATGCAAAGCAGTGTGCTTACAGTGAAAAGCACAGACACAGCCCCTAGTAAAACAGCACACAGTTAACTCTTTGATTGCCCAGATGTTAACCCCTTCCTGCCCATTGCCATTAGTACAGTGTCAGTGCTTTTTATTATCACTGATCACTGTATTGGCCCACTCCTCTTGGCAGATCCTCTCCAGGTCATTAAAGTTTAGTGGCTGATGTTGGGCAACTCGAACTTTCAGCTCCCTCCACTGATCACTGTATTGGTGTCATTGGGGATGTCAGTGACACCAAGTCAGTCCCCCCCAGTGTCAGAATGCCCGCCGCAGTCCCGCTATAAGTCGCTGATCGCCGCCATTACTAGTAAATATATGGAAAAAAAAATCCCAGTATCTATACTGCCATTTGTAAACACCATAACTTTCACGTAAACCAATTAATTTACACGTATTGGGATTTTATTTTTAGCAAAGACAAAGCAGAATACATTTTGGCCTAAATGACGAAATTTGATTTTTACTGAACATGTTTTACCACAAACCTACAGGGCCCTTATACCCCCTTCCTGCCCAGGCCAATTTCCAGCTTTCAGTGCTGTCACACTTTGAATGACAATTGCGCGGTCATGCAACACTGTACCCATATGAAATTTTTATTATTTTTTGAGACAGATAGAGCTTTATTTTGGTGGTATTTAATCACCTCTGGGTTTTTTATTTTTTGCTAAACAAACCAAAAACAAAATTTTGAAAAAAAAAAGGGTTTTTTCTTAGTTTTTGTTTTAAAATTTTGTAAATAAGTTATTTTTCTCCTTCACTGATATGCGCTAATGAGGCTGCAGTGATGGGCACTGATAAGTGGCACTGATGAGGAGGCACTGGTAGGGGGCACTGATGGGCATTGACAGGCATCACTGATGGGCACTGAAAGGCAGCATTCATATATGGCACTGATAGACGGCACTGATAGGCAGCACTGATGGGCACTGATAGGCGGTACTGACTGGCACTGATAGGCAGCACTGATGGGCACTGATAGGCGGTACTGACTGGCACTGATAGGCAGCACTGACGGGCACCGATAGGCGGCACTGATAGTCCACACTGACTGGCACTGATAGCTGGCACTGCCTCACACTGATAGGCAGCACTGATAGATGGCACTGACTGGCACTGATAGGTGACACTGAAAGGTAGCACTGGTAGGCACTGATGTGGCACTGGCACGAGGCACTGACAGGAGGCATTGATGGAGACTGACAGGTGGCACTGCTGGGGCTACACTGATCATCAGTGCTCTGATGATTAGTGTACATGCCCCCACCAAGGAATGCCGATTACGGCTCTCCTTTCCTCTGTCAGCGTGACAGCTCGAGAGGAGAGAAATGCCGACAACCGGCATTTCCCTATTTATGTGCGATCAACTGTGATTGGACACAGCTGATCACATGACCAAGCCGAAATCTTCGTCTCTTTCCGTTGATCCGCTGTGTCCGAGGGACACAGCGCACCACCGATCGCCGCTCTGCGCGCTGCCGGAGCCACGCATGTGCGGTTAGAATGAGAGGACGTCATATGATGTCCTCCCAGAACAAGAGAACCGCCTTGTGCCCATCATTGCCTTATATGGCAGGGGGGAGGCGGTTAATAGCAAAAAGTAAATTTTTTTTTTTCTCAAAATTGTCGCTTTTTTATAGCGCAAATATTAAAAAACTCAGAGGCGATCAAATACCACCGAGAGAAAGCTCTATTCGTGGGAGAAAAGGACATTTTTATTTGGGTGCAGCATTGCATGACCGTGCAATTGTTAAAAGTAACGCAGCTCCGTAACGTAAACAATGACCTGGCCAGGAAGAGGGGTAAATCCTCTGGAGGGTTGAGGTGGCAATTAAACTCATTTAGTGCCTTATCTATGTTACATTTGCCTCAGAACCTGTGTAATAACTGTGTGTTCGGTTTTAAAGGGATGAGGTGGCAACCCTAACTAAAAGGTGTCCCTCTTTTCCACTTTAGAAAGTTGGAAGGGATGTGACCTTGGCAGCACACTCTTCAGTACATCTTTCTTCCCCTAATGTTCCCCCTTTTTACTGGGTTTCCCGAACTTGGCTCCGAGAAGATGGCGCCTATACTGCCCTCTAAAGCACACACAGCCCCCTAGTGTTCTTCCCACGGGTCTCCGGTAGGCGGTGCCGCCTGTGTGTGTGTGTATTGGGAGCCGCCTACTAGGTAGGAGTGCGCTGACGTCAGGGGGCGGGCAGTTGTGGCTCAGTTTCGGTGCTGTTTCCGTGTTCGGTGATATTGGTTGGAACGATCGGGAAGACTCTGTACAAGTCCGCTGTGTTCTCCGGATACCATGAACAGAATATTCGGGAAGGGGAAGCCGAAAGCCCCCCCGCCCAACCTGACGGACTGCATCGGAAATGTGAGTGGCTGTGCAGACACAATGGGGAGCTGACACCTCGTACACAATAGCTGGCTCTGAGGTCCTCTCTATGATATCCTCTCTATGCCGTCCTCGCTGTACTGTCCTCTCTATGCTGTCCTCTCTATACTCTCCTCTCTATGATAGCTCCTTCGCTGTCACTTCGCAGAGACCTCCCATAGAGACAGCTCGGCTACCCCCCAGACCCTCCAATCATCGGTGGTGTTTGTGTCCACTTCCTGTCCGGCTCTTGCAGTGTCAGGCCTATAAGGAGCTCAGCACTGCTTCCTGCTGGTCTTGTGACTATGACTGCTGCTCTCAGGTGACACAATCCTCTCATTAGTCACCTACTCCACCTCCATGGCCTCTGCTAGACTCACCCACACAAACATTACACTGGAAGCAAAGGATTTGTTTGTTTCTTATATAGTGGAGATGGATTAGAGCCCCTGCCGGTTGTATTGCTGTCTGTGAACTATTCTCTCTATTTGTCATGTGACTGTTCTCACCAAACATGCGGAAATCCCAATCTGGCTTGTCGCCACAACAGAAGGGAGATCTTCCAGTGGAGACACTAGTTGTGGTGATCAGGGATGAGTTTCCAGCATGTTCTCAGCCTGCCTGAGCCATCCCACCACAAATCACCTTGTACAGTGCTGGCCAATACACTCCATAGTCACATCTAATATCACATTCAAAAAACTAGAAAAGCTACAATTTCTGGGGAAGTTGTGTGAAGTGTTCTTGCCTCCACCAGTAGTCTACAACTCACACTCTAGCTTTGGTCACTCTGCTGCCTGCTCACACACCTGGGTTCCTATGGCAACTCACTCTACAGCAAGGGCAGAGAAAACAAACTGCTCCAACTTGCTCACTTCACTGGCGGTTGCCATCTTCAAACAGTTGTAGTTTAAAAATTATAAATCTTAAACCAAACAGCTTTATATTGTGAGAATCACAAGACCCAGACCTACATTTTGATGCATAGTATGCCTCTGAAATATAAAAAATGAAGGCACAGTCGCAGTTTAGAAATTGCCCTTCAAATTTGAGGTGGCTAGAGTGGAGTTTCAATGAATGTCAATGGGCGGCGTGAGTTGCAAACAAATGGTCATATTGTGAGAACTATCAGGACTATGGCTTAGCCGTGGACATTTTTAGTGGCAGCAGGGATAGCTGAACGTTTTGATATAAGATTTGTGTAGGTGGGCTTGAAAATGAGGGAGTGATGGCAGTTTAGAAATCATGTCCTGATTTTTCATCTCACACTCTAGCTTTTGTCAGCTCCCACTCTAGTTTTGAACATTCCGCCATTCATTCCTATGGGACCAATTTCACCACAAAAACGGCGATATTTCGTGAACCATTTGACGATTCGTTCCACAAAGTAATAGCACGCACCAATCGGGAACAATCCGCACGTTTCGGTATATTACTGTCTATGTAGTGTAAAAACTGTGGGAGGAGTTAGGGTGGTAAATTTGGCTATAATAATAAGAATATAAATGTGAGATAACAGGAAGTTGCCTTGTCATGCAAGAACACTTAATAACATCTGACCATCAAACTATGCGACACACAGAAATCATGAAAATATATATATATATATGGGCAGCACTTCTGCCTGGCAGTACTAGGGTCGTTGGTTCAAATCCCAGCCACGGCACCACCTGCCTGGAGTTTGCATGTTCTCCCTGTGCCTGCGTGGGTTTCCTCTGGGTACTCCGGTTTCCTCCCACACTCCAAAGACATGCTGGTAGGTTAATTGGCTCCTGTCTAAATTGGCCCTAGTACATGAATGTGAGTTAGGGACCTTAGATTGTACACCCCTTGAGGGTTAGGGACTGATGTGAATGTACAATATATATATAAAGCGCTGCGTAAAATGATGGCGCTCTATAAGTACCTGAAATAAATATATATATGGAGATTTTACTATCACTGTAAAGTTTCATGATTTATGTGTCTCACATAGTTTGATATTACTTTTTTAAAGCACTTGTCTACAGGGCACTTGCACCCCCTTCCCGCCCAGGCCAATTTTCAGCTTTCAGCGCTGTTGCATTTTGAATGACAATTGCGCGGTCATGCAACACTGTACCCATATGACATTTTTATCATTTTTTTGCGACAGAGCTTTATTTTGGTGGTATTTAATCACCTCTGGGGTTTTTATTTTTTCTTAAACAAACCAAAAACCACTGAAATTTATTTTAAAAAAATGTTTTTTCTTAGTTTTTGTTATAAAATTTTGTAAATAAGTAATTTCTCTCCTTCACTGATGTGTGCTAATGAGGCTGCAGTGATGGGCACTGATAAGATGTACTGATGGACACTGATGAGGAGGTACTGGTAGGTGGCACTGATGGGCATTGGCAGGCATCACTGATATATGGCACTGTTAGGTGGCACTGACTGGCGGCACTGATGGGTGGCACTGAAGGGCAGCTCAGATGGTCACTGATATGTGGCATTGATGTGCACTGGTAGGCACTGATATGTGGTACTGATGGGCACTGGCATGTGGCACTGTTCAGCGCTGACAGCTGGCACTGATGGACACTGACAGGTGGCACTTCTAGGGCCACACTGATCATCAGTGCCCTGATGATCAGTGTACATGTCCCCTCCGCGGAATGCCGGTTACCGGCTCTCCTCTCGAGCTGTCAGCGTGACCGCTCCTGAGGAGAGAAGTGCCGATAACTGGCATTTCCCTGTTTACATGTGATCAGCTGTGATTGGACACAGCTGATCACATGACCGAGCCGACATCTTCGGCTCTTTCCATGGATCGGTGATCTGCTGCGTCCGAGGGACACAGAGGATCACCGCGCTGCGTGCTCCCTGAGTCGCGCATGCGCAGTGAGAATGGAAGGCCTATCAGAACGAAAGAACCACCTTGCGCCCGTCATTGGATTATATGGCGGGCGGGAGGTGGTTAATCACCACTGGGGTTTTTTTTTTTTTTTGCACTATAAACAATAAAAGACTGAAAAGTTTAAAAAAAAAAAATGTTTTCTTTTGGTTCTATTATAAAATTTTGTAAACAGGTAAGTTTTCTCCTTCACTGATGAGTGTTGATGAGGCGGCACTGACGGGCAGCACTGTTGGGGCTGCACTGATAATCAGTGCCCTGATTATCAATGCAGATGTCTCCTTTGACAATTGCCATGCTGTGACAGCGTGAGGAAAGTACTGCCGATAACCAGCAAGTGTATTTACATGGTGATCAGCTGTGAGTGGACACAGCTGATCACGTGGTAAAAGTTTGCTGTGATTGGCCTTTTACTGTGTTCTGTGATCAGCTGTGTCCTAAGCACACAGCAATCACAGAGTGCTGGTGGCATGTTCTGGGAGGACGTCGTACAGTGAAGGAAATAAGTATTTGATCCCCTGCTGATTTTGAATGTTTGCCCCTCACAAAGAAATGATCAATCTAAAAATTGAATGGTTCGGTGTATTGTAACACTGAGAGACAGAATAGCAACAAAAAATTCAGCAGAAATGCATGTCTAACAAATGATGCACTGATTTGCCTGTTCATGAGGGAAATAAGTATTTGATCCCCTTCACAAAACATAACTTAGTACTTGGTGGCAAATCCTTTGTTGGCAATCACAGAGGTCAGACGTTTCCTGTAGTTGGCCCCCAGATTTGCACACATCTCAGGAGGGATTTTGGCCCGCTCCTCTTGGCAGATCCTCTCCAAGTCATTAAGGTTTGGTGGCTGACGTTTGTCAACTCGAACTTTCAGCTCCCTCCACAGATTTTCAATCGTATTAAGGTATGGATACTGGCTAGGCCACTCCAGAACCTTAATGTGCTTCTTCTTGAGCCACTCCTTTGTTGCCTGGGCCGTGTGTTTTGGGTCATTTTCATGCTGGAACACCCATCCGCGACCCATTTTCAATGCCCTGGCTGAGGGAAGAAGGTTCTCACCCAAGATTTGATGGTACATTGCCCCGTCCATCGTCCCTTTGATGCGGTGCAGTTGTCCTGTCCCCTTAGCAGAAAAACACCCCAAAGCAGAATGTTTCCACCACCATGTTTGACAGTTGGGATGGTGTTCTTGGGGTCATAGGCAGCATTTCTCCTCCTCCAAACACGGCGAGTTGAGTTGATGCCAAAGAGCTCGATTTTGGTCTCATCTGACCACAACACTTTCCACCAGTCCTCCTCTGCATCATTCAGATATTCAGTGGCAAACTTCAGACGGGCCTGGACATGTGCTTTCTTGAGCAGAGGGACCTTACAGGCATTGCAGGATTTCAATCCTTGTCGGCGTAGTGTGTTATCAATTGTTTTCTTGGTGACTGTGGTCCCAGCTGCCTGGAGATCATTGACAAGATCCTCACGTGTAGTTCTGGGATGATTCCTCACTGTTCTCATGATCATTGACACTCCACGAGGTGAGATCTTGCATGGTGCACCAGACCTAGGGAGGCTGACAGTTGTTTTGTGTTTCTTCCATTTGTGAATGATTGCACCAACTGTTGTCACCTCACCAAGCTGCTCGGCGATAGTTTGGTAGCCCAGTCCAGCCTTGTGTAGGTCTACAGTCCTGTCCCTGACATCCTTGGACAGCTCTTTGGTCTTTGCTATGGTGGAGAGTTTGGAATCTGATTGTTTGATTGCTCCTGTGGAAAGGTGTCTTTTTATATAGGTAACAAAATGAGATTAGCAGCACTCCCTTTAAGAGACTGCATCTAATCTCAGCTTGTTACCTGTATGAAAGACACCTGGTAGCCAGAAATCCTGCTGAATGATAGGGGATCAAATACTTATTTCCCTCATGAACATGCAAATCAGTGCATAATTTGTTAGACATGCATTTCTTTTTTAATTTTTTGTTGCTATTCTGTCTCTCAGTGTTACAATACACCTACCATTCAATTTTTAGACTGATCATTTCTTTGTGAGTGGGCAAACATTGAAAATCAGCAGGGGATCAAATACTTATTTCTTTCACTGTATGACGCCCTCCCAGAACTGGGCGACCACGCTGTAGCCGTCATTCAGCTATAGCGAAGTCAACAAATGGTTAAAGTGGAACTTTAGTCAGAAATATAAAGTGTCACTAAACCCACAACAAAAAAAATCAAGTCTGTATATACAGTAAAGCATGTTTTATACTCGCTGTAGAACCTAGGGGGTTAATTCTGCGTATTGTGTAAAAAGGCTGTTTGATTCTGTCCTAACTGATCCTACCCCCTAATTCCACAGTCCCAATCCATCTGCTGATAGTACAGAGTTCTAGGAGTCACTTTGCACATATTCAGTTTGGTGTGTATGGAGTGAAAGTTTGTTTTGTTTTTGTTTTTTCTCTTTGGGTGGGTGAATGTGATCAGCACAGGGCTAATCAGCACTGTCCAGACAGAGGGTCAGTGATCATGGAGCCTCATAGGACAGTCAGAGCAGAATGAAAACTCCTCCTGCAAGCTTTAACCAGTGCTCAGCTGGATACTGATAGAAGTCACAAGACTGATCTATACTGCTGTTGAGAAAAGGTATTTAGCGGTTTATATTTGCTAAAATAATTGTGTTTTCGTGTACTGTGGGAGACCAGGTTTAGTGAATGCAGGGTCCTGGGTTTAGTAACACTTTAAGTCCTGCTAGATCACTTCAGGCTGGCTCCTTTTGTAGGTATAGCTATGTAAACTAAAATAAAATAAGTGTCTATAATGTTTAAAATCCAGTAATACACTTTCTTACCCTGCTCTGCACATGTTCATTTGCTCTCATTTTTAGGTATTTGTAGCCAGCTGACAGCCATAAAGCTGAATTAAAACCTATCCTGTACAGCCAAGGAAGCTGCTTTTGTTTGATCTGCAACCGCCATGGTGCTGCTCATGTGATCAGTTATGACACCAGACATTTGCTGGTTTGACAGTTTGGTTGAGGACAGAAGCAAATGTGACAGTTGGCAATGCCGGCATTCCAGGAATGTAACTGTTTTTGGAAACCCTTAAATCAATGAATTGTAGTTCCGTTTTATGATTAGGGCTTGTTCACACCATATACGCAGAAAAACTGATGGAAAAAACAGCAGATTTCACTTGCAGATACATCAGTTTACTTCAGTTTTCATGTGCATTTCAGTGATTTTATACATGATGTAAATTCCTGTGCAGAAAGAATCCGCAACTGATACTAGTGTTGTGAACAGGACAAATAGAGAACAATTTTTTTTTTTGTGCCCCTACAGAATGTGTGCAAAAAAAACTCACGTCTCTGTAGACGGTGAGAACGAGGCCTTAAAGCGGAGTTCCTCTCACACTGTCAAAAAATAAGTCAACAGCTTCAAAAACTGTAGCTGCTGACTTTTTAAAAACAGCCACTTACCTGTCCCTCGGTCCCGTGGTGAGTCCTCCGCAGCCTGTTTCACCGGCCGTCCTGTATTCCAGGAGGCCGGCATTGTCAGTGTGGGTACCCGGCTGTGATAGCTTGCGGCTTCACAGTCGGGTATCCACTGCGCATGTGCGAGTAGCTCTGTGCTTCATGAATGGTCCTGTAGTCTTATGGGACCTGTCACGTGTCCCAAAAGACTACAAGGAGGGAGGACCTAGGCGATCGGACCGGAAGTGGGATCGGGTACCTGCCAAATTTGGGTACTCGCTCCCCCCCCCCCCCCCGCCCCCCCAAAGGTGCCAATCCTTAATGGGGAGCGGGGGAGCAGTCCTTAAAGCAGAACTTCCCCTTTTGGGTGGAGCTCCGCTTTAATGGTGTTCATGGGCTCTGGGCTCCAGCAAAATGGCAGCCTCCAGCAAGAAGAAACAGGAATGATGCTGGAGGCCATTTACAGAACACACTAATTTTAGTAGTCTAATTATTAATGTAGAATGTATGTTCCTTGCTAAAGAACATTATTTTTTATCAATTTGTTATGGGGAAAGTGACTTGTTATACTGTGTTTCATTAATGAGCGTGTATTGACACCGCACTATGCACATTGATCCCATTTAATAGTAGTGTGTTTTCAGCTTTTAGGATATACAATATATTTTTGATTGCACAAAGTTTTCATTTATCCCACCAGAAGGCTGACACTGCGTCCCGCCAGTCATAAGTGGTTGAGGCATTCCTTGCCCTGCAGTCGCAGGTATACATGCAAACATAAAAAGTGTTCTTTGTGTTTGTGTTACTGCAGAGATCACTTCATGTCTCCAAGGAGTTGTACTCTAGTGCTGTCATACCATAGTTTACCATCTGTGCTACTTACATGATTTTCACAGGTATACATGACCATTGTACACAGGTACATGCAGCTGCTGGGAATACCTCATCCATTTATGGTTGGTGGGATAGCTCAGGCAGGTTCACACTTGGATCAGGGGTTTTTCCTCACTTTGGAGAGATTTACTCTCACTTCCTATTTTGGCAGGAAGTGAAGGGAAGTCTCCCTAGTGGGACTTTATCACAGGTGAATGCTCCACAAATGCATTATAAACACATGTGCATACAGAACATGGGGATTGCAGTGCAAATGAGTCCTAAACGTACAAGGTAGGGCTCCCTTTTCCAAAAAATAGGTGGCTGCATTCAGAAAAGTTCTGGAATTGCTCTGTAGGGACTACAATGTCCGTTCAGTCTTTTATAGGCTCCATTCACATCTATGCAGGTGCAATGTAGTGCACATGCATTTCAGTGCAGCCTATTGATTTTAGTGGGCTGCCCTACATGTAGAAAATGCACTAAAAAAGTGCAAGGCCCTTTTTAAAAAAAAATTGCGCCACACCAAAACACATGACATTTTGTGCTTAAATGCGCACATTGCAGGGGTGCCATTAAGAACCAATAGCACCAGTGTTTGTCTACAGAAGGGCTGCACATTCGTGCATTGTGAGAAAGGGCGTGCTGATCGCAGATACAAGAATGTGAAAGTGGTAAATGTGATTGTTGTAGACCTACGAGATAGTTGTTCAGATATTTTGATAATTGAGGTCCAATGTATTTATCATAGTGCCGTGAAGACCATGTGGTTGCAAGACTGTCCAGGGTATTACAGATTCAGAACTTTGAACCTGCACAATGTCAGTAGTGTGAAAAATTGCCAGAAAACTTTTGTTTGAGAAGGAGTAAAATCATTCCTGCTTCCCCTTCCTCCCAAAGGTCGACAGCAGAGCAGAGTCAATTGACAAAAAAATAGCACGGCTTGACGCAGAACTGGTAAAGTACAAAGACCAGATGAAGAAGATGAAAGAAGGTCCATCCAAGGTAGGTGCAATGCCACCATTTGAAATGTATTTCTTAAAGGATAAGTTCACCTTTGGGAACATGTTACATGCTCCACCCATTTTAGGGTGGAACATGTGACATGTTCCCATAGCTGCAGCTGCCGCCGCCCCCCCTCTCTGACAGATAGTATGGGAGGCTACTCCCCATACTACTGTCAAAGTTTAAACCAGCCGAGGCTCCGGCCCCACAGCCGCATCTTTCATTCATAATCGCCTGCTGCAATGCTTTCTGGGTTTCTGCAGACAAAATTAATAAATGCACTTTTTTTACCTGTGAAAAAATGTGCATTTATTATTTTTTTTGTCTAAAAGGTGAACTTATCCTTTAAGCAGCACTCTTTAAAGCTTGAATAGAAATGAAAGTGGTACATTTTGGGATACCTTGCACCCATTTTTTTGGGCCTTGACAACTCATTGTAAAATTTGAATGTAATATTCTGTCTGTTTTTTTTTTTAGTTCCTGTTTTGATATCCCCAGTCTTAAGGCTACATTCACATGAGCATTTAGCCACGCTTCAAATTTCAGTAGCGAGAATCTAATGGGGGAGATTTACTTGAACTGGAACACTCAGAAGTTGCCTGTCTACTATTAACAGCTGCATCAGATTCTAACTTCAGCTTGTTCAATTAAGCTTTCAGAAAAAAACCTGGAAGATGATTGGTTTCTGTGCTCCGCTGCACCAGACATTGCACCATGCAGATTTTAGTAAATAACCACCCCGTGATTCCTGCATCTGGGACTGACAGCTGTGTATGGATAGCTGCGGCCACCGAGCTTCTACAGTGCAATGACAGGTAAAAGGCTATTGCCAGCTGCAGCTAATTGTGGCTGTTTACACAAAGTACTTCCAGCCACAATCACCGCAAGTAATCGCTGGCTGTGAGAACAATCGTGAATAGCTGCAGCCACCGACAACCTGTCATTGCACTGTATTGGCATGGCAGACACAGCTGTCAATCCTCGCTGCAGGATTCGCTCTTTATTTTTCATCAAATGCTCAGTTTTGAATTGTCCAGGTGTGTAAGGTCACATTCACAGGGGTGTTGAGTCACACTGCAAATCCCAAAGGCAAGAATCCACCAATTCCTGCAGTGGTTGATTGACAGCTGTGTGCGGATAGCCACTGAATAACTGGTGATCATGGCTGGGCACACTCTGTGTGAGCAGCCATATATACAGTAGCTCTGGCTGGCATTGCACTCTACATACCCAGTGGCCACAGATACTGTATGTGTACACAGCTCTCAATCCCTGCTGCAGGCATTGGTAGATTTGCAGTGTGGTTCAATGCCTGTGTGAATGTGGCCTTGCACACATTAATCACAAATAAAGGCCAAATGTCAAAATGATCTGTAGGCAGCTGTAGTTATATATAGGCTTAACTTTTGGTGTCTGTTTTTTTTTGTTTTTTTAATAAAGCTTGAATGTGTGTAAGCTTCCGGGCTTGAGTTCACTTTCTATTCTATTTACCTAGCAAGCAGAAAAAAACAGTGGATTGCAAAGTTGTAATAATGGCAGAGGGGAGCATTAGGTCCATGGCTCTGTGTTCAAAAATGCTGTCATTTATGCAAGTTTTTCTCTTTATCTCACAGTTCACCATTATTATTTATAAGAATAAAAGAAGCTTGCATGCTCACAAATATGTAATACTTTATAGAAGACTAGCTCTCTCCGTGCATATTTACTTTTCTGTATGTTATGTTGCTTTTGGCCTCTTACTAGAACAAAGAAATGTGTGCTGTATATCTTGATTCTTACGGCTGGTCTGTGCTTTATACATGCCATGCTGAGAAAGTAGGTGTGTTTGTCACGCTGACGGTTATAAAGTAGATCTAAAGATAATGCACTGTGTAAAAAGGTAGACACCTTTTACTGGAGTTGTGCAACAAGCATGAGCTGCCACTGACAGAATACTTGCTCCATTTGCATGTCTTATATTTTCCTTAATCCATGTTTGAACTATATACCGTATTTTTCGCTCCATAAGACGCACCTAGGTTTTAGAGGCAGAAAACAGGAAAAAAAATATTCTGAACTAATGGACTGCAGACATAATACAGGAGATGACCAGAGACTGCGGATAATACAGGAGATGACCAGAGACTGCGGATAATACAGGAGATGACCAGAGACTGCGGACAGCACAGGGATGACCAGAGACTGCGGATAATACAGGAGATGACCAGAGACTGCGGACAGCACAGGGATGACCAGAGACTGCGGACAGCACAGGGATGACCAGAGACTGCGGACAGCACAGGGATGACCAGAGACTGCGGACAGCACAGGGATGACCAGAGACTGCGGACAGCACAGGGATGACCAGAGACTGCGGACAGCACAGGGATGACCAGAGACTGCGGACAGCACAGGGATGACCAGAGACTGCGGACAGCACAGGGATGACCAGAGACTGCGGACAGCACAGGAGATTACTGCTGACCTTTGGGGAGGGGGGGAGCGGGTACCTGAATTTGACAGGTACCCACTCTTCCCCGGAGTTGTTCTTTGATCTTACCTGTTCCTCTATCCAGCGGCGCGCTGTCTTCCTGGCTTCTGTAGTGTCGGCGCTCGGCATGACAGCCGGGTGCCCAGTGCGCATGAGCGAGAAGCACTTGCGCTTTGTGATTGGTCCAGCGGCTTCTGGGATCTGTCGTGTGTCCCAGGTACCGCCTTACCATTCACAAAAAGCACCGCTTCTTGTGCATGCGCACTTGGCACCCGGCTGTCAAGCCCAGCGCCCACACTACAGAAGCCGGGAAGACAGCGCGCCGCTGGATAAAGGAACAGGTAAGGTCAATGAATAACTCTGCGGAAGTAAGAGCAAGTACCTGTCAAATTCAGGTACCCGCTCCCCACCTCCCCAAAGGTCAACAGTCCTCTCCATAAGGTCCCGCTGCAGAGCTGAGCGGCCGGCCCGGTATTCTGACACGGCGGTGGAAATACCGGACCTGCCGCTCCATATTCGCTTCATAAGACGCACTGACATTTTCCCCCCTTTTTTGGGGGGGAAAAAAGTGCGTCTTATGGAGCGAAAAATACAGTAGTTTTCAATGAACAACACACTGTATATTAATTTCACATATTCTGAGCCTTGTGGTGAATAACAACCTTTTGAACCATTTGGTGACCCATTTTATAAATAGGTGATTGTGATCTACACCAAACATTCACTGCAGATGAATTAATTACTGTAATTTTAAAATGCATGCATCAGAAAGATACATCTGCAGTTGATGATATTTCAGATATGTCACATTCATTTCTTTAGCATACCTCCATATATTTGATCTTTTGTAAACTTTTACATTGAGTAGACTAGAAATGTCAGCTAAAATTCTGCTTTGTGTATTTACATATATAACATTTTATTTTCTTTATCATACATCATGGGACACAGAGCAGGTTATTCATGACTATGTGGGTTATATGCCACCTATAGGTGAGTGAACGTTGGCAGATTAAACAAACAGGACATCCTTACCTATATAACCTCTTTTACACAAAGTACTTCAGTTTTTTTTTCTCCAGTGTCTGTAAGGTGGATGGTCACTGATGCACTCTTGGAGCATATTTGGAAGTCTGGAATGGGTCTGCTGAGAATAAAGGACTTCAGTTGGATCCATTTGAAAAACTGTTAGCCAAAATGAATGGTACCCAAGCCTCTTTGGATAGGAGAAAGAATCCTCAAGGTTTGTCTGTAATGCAGGCTTACCGCACTGGACCCTGTGTAATGGAACCTTGTCAGTCTTTGTTCTGACCAAGGTGCTTTCCAGCAGGGTGCTATACAGGTCCAAGGAGGTGGACTCCAGATGTAGGGGGGACCTAATACTTGAAGGTCTTTTATGACAGAGCCCGCTGTGATGGGTGAAGGTTGAACTTCTGTTATGATTCAGAGTCCTGCAGTGGGAATGGTAAGTTTACATTTGCAGTGTTTCTTTGAAAATCTGACTGTCTGATCATTCTACTGGGGGCAGGGTTCTGTTTGGTCTGACCAGGCCATGCTTTGTGTGTCTCTGAAGGTGTGATGGGCTGCAGTTTTCTCCTCCAGCCACTAGAGGCTGCAGGGCCACTCTGTATTGCCCACTCTTGTGCAGTGGAGGCAGGAAGAAGAGGGGCTGCTATTTTGGCTTATGGTTGAAGTCACATGTGGGCTAAAGCATCAGTGTGGCCCCTGAGGGATAGCAGGGACACAAAGTAGTCTATGGCTGGATGGTGATATGTGCAGTGTTTGCACTTCATGATAGACTAGTGGTGTCAGGTGTATTTGGGCCACTTTGTTTGTCTGGCATTGCAGCTATTCCTGGTGGCAAAGCTGCAATGAACTGCAGCCGCACCACCCTGAACGCAGCTGATCTCAACTGAACTTGGTAGCTAAGCAAGGTCAGCCCTGGTTAGTATTTGGAGGGGAGACTGCCTGGGAATCAGGTGCTGTAAGCTTTTCCCCTTCGGAGTCTGAGACGTCTGGGCTTTGAGAAGTATGTCAGGCAGAGGATGCTAGGGCAAGCTCTGAAGCTATTCCAGACACTCGACAGGTTAGCAGCCCCTAAAACCAATTGGGGACACGAGGTCTATCTTCGATCTTAAGGCAAGTAGACATCCTTCTGTTTTTGATGGTATTAGTCTGATCAGTGGTGGCCTGTTTGCAGGAGAGAGATTTCTGGTGTCCATAGTCCTCAATGACACACCTTTGTGTGACAATTGTTTCAGGATCAAGGTTTTCTGCAAATTGCAGTAAAGAATTGCCATTTTTGTTTTTGGGCTGGCCACAGCCCCCTGAGTGTTCACAATGAACCTATCCCTCGTGCTGGGCTTGCTGAGGACACAGGGGTTTCAGTTTCAGAATACCTTAATGTTTCTTTGCTCAGGGAGCAGTCGGTTCCAAGCTTAAAGCAATATATACTGTAAGAAGCAAAAGGTATCCAATACGTCTCTGCATGAGGACATGGTATCTACGTTGAAGCGGTTTCCTACGTGCG